CACCAGAGTTAAAGAAAAACTCACCAAACAAGAAAAGTTAAAGTGAATATGTTACATCAACGTTTTAAACTTACTCATAAAATGGTCATCACTCTGAAAACTTTAGTTATGTTTCTTTTCACTACTTTTTTCATCATATCTTTTGTTGATTGTCATACTACTACTGCGGCTACTACTCCAGCTAATTCTCTTGGTAACAATTATTTTAAACTACAATTTTAATTATAGGGTACAATTTTATCTTTTTTTTTTAATTAAAAGACTTATTTGCTTAATAATATTATTCATATAAATAGGCTATGGAATAAATTGGGAGACTGTAATATGCTTCCAGATCTCATCACCGTGTGATTATGGAGGGCGATACGGGTGCGCAAAGTTTTGTGACAAGTGGGATTACATTTATGACCATTGTGAACCTTATAAATGTTGTTGTCATAGATAAGATTGCGTTCAAAATAAAATAATCTAATAAAATATATTAGCATTTGTTTGGAAATAAGAGTAGTCTGGACCAAGGTGTGTTATCTTTTATTTTTCTAAGGTTTTTCTGAAGTTATGTAAGATTCACCTTCTCATTTTCCTGCTTTAGTATATTGTGAACGTTTCCTATCAAGATAGTTGCTCAAAAAAAAGAAAGATAGTATACATCCATATGTAACATGTTCGTGAATAAATGCTATATATACATGCGTATATTAGTTTCACTTCACCAAGGAAACAGCTGAACCAACAAAAATTAAATTGGGCAAGTGTTAAATTTGATGCATGTCCAAACCTGATCTGTATGTAAACATTCATGTTAACATGTTAAGCTCTAATCTATGGTTACACAATATCTCAAAATAAATTTCATAGTCTATGATTTAACAACTTCTAGATTGCACCAACGCAATTTGAGATCGGGAAAGTCAATACAGAAATCTGACCGAATTTAAAAATAGACTAGCATTAGCATGTTTCTACTGAAATTGATCGAATCAATTACTATTTTTCTCTATACTGTATCTAAGAATATTTCTCTGTTTTCTAATTTAATTATAAAAATGCTATTTAAAGAAAATATTTTATTACAAAATCCATTTCTACCATACAAATTTTCTATTAGAGGATGTACTAGCTAGTATGTAAATTCCATTCTGTCAAGTCTTGACATTAATTAGTACATAAGTATATATTTATATTCTCTTTGTGCAGTTCTATAGTCAATTCTTAGATTATATTTTGACTAAAAATGTATTAGAAAATATAAAAGGAAAAGTTATATTCTCTCATAAATATCTCTGACCAAGAAAATATTCGCTTTTAATGTGTACTAGATTCTAATACGCATGCTCGTGCGAGTGTTTAAAAAGTATTTATTATTAAAAATTTATACAATAATTGATTGTATATATTTTGAAACTTATAATATTTAATATGATTTTCTAATCTATACGCATCAATTTTATTAATTGGTTTAAATTATCATCTTTTTATTTGTTTAAATAAATTATATAAAATAAATAATATATAAACAAAAATAAATTATAATTCACCTTCATTGTTATATATATATATAAACAACTAAAAATATGATAATTTAAATAAATTATAATTCACCTTAATTGTTATATATATAATTTATTTAAACAAATAAAAAGATGAAAATTTAAATAAATTAATAAAATTGATGCATTTAGATTAGAAAATCATATTAAATATTATAAGTTTCAAAATATATACAATCAATTATTGTATAAATTTTTAATAATAAATATTTTTTAAACACTCGCACGAGCATGCGTATTAGAATCTAGTACACATTAAAAGCAAATATTTTCTTGGTCAGAGATATTTATGAGAGAATATAACTTTTCCTTTTATATTTTTAATACATTTTTAGTCAAAATATAATCTAAGAATTGACTATAGAACTGCACAAAGAGAATATAAATATATACTTATGTACTAATTAATGTCAAGACTTGACAGAATGGAATTTACATACTAGCTAGTACATCCTCTAATAGAAAATTTGTATGGTAGAAATGGATTTTGTAATAAAATCTTTTCTTTAAATAGCATTTTTTATAATTAAATTAGAAAACAGAGAAATACTCTTAGATACAGTATAGAGAAAAATAGTAATTGATTCAATCAATTTCAGTAGAAACATACTAATGCTACAGTCTATTTTTAAATTCGGTCAGATTCTGTATTGACTTTTCCGATCTCAAATTGCGTTGGTGCAATCTAGAAGTTGTTAAATCATAGACTATGAAATTTATTTTGAGATATTGTGTAACCATAGATTAGAGCTTAACATGTTAACATGAATGTTTACATACAGATCATGTTTGGACATGCATCAAATTTAACACTTACCCAATTTAATTTTTGTTGGTTCAGCTGTTTCCTTGGTGAAGTGAAACTAATATACGCATGTATATATAGAACTTATTCACGAACATGTTACATATGGATCTATACTATCTTTTTTTTTGAGCAACTATCTTGATAGGAAATGTTCACAATATACTAAAGCAGGGAAATGAGAAGGTGAATCTTACATAACTTCAGAAAAACCTTAGAAAAATAAAAGATAACACACCTTGGTCGAGACTACTATTATTTCCAAACAAATGCTAATATATTTTATTAGATTATTTTATTTTGAACGCAAACTTATCTATGACAACAACATTTATAAGGTTCACAATGGTCATAAATGTAATCCCACTTGTCACAAAACTTTGCGCACCCGTATCGCCCTCCATAATCACACGGTGATGAGATCTGAAAGCATATTACAGTCTCCCAATTTATTCCATAGCCTATTTATATGAATAATATTATTAAGCAAATAAGTCTTTTAATTAAAAAAAGATAAAATTGTACCCTATAATTAAAATTGTAGTATAAAATAATTGTTACCAAGAGAATTAGCTGGAGTAGTAGCCGCAGTAGTAGTATGACAATCAACAAAAGATATGATGAAAAAAGTAGTGAAAAGAAACATAACTAAAGTTTTCATAGTGATGACCATTTTATGAGTAAGTTTAAAACGTTGATGTAAGATTTTCACTTTAACTTTTCTTGTTTGGTGAGTTTTTCTTTAAATTATGTATATAGTGCACCTCCACACATTAAAAGCGAATATTTTCTTGGTCAAAGATATATAAAAGAATATAATATTTCCTTGTACTTCTAATATAGAAATGCAAAAAAAGAGTATGATAATATATATTTACATATTAATTAATGCAAGAATTTGACTGAATGGAATTTACATATTTGTACGCTCTTAAATAGAAGATCGGCATTATAGAAATGGAATTTACTAAACTGTATTTTTAAGGAATAGCATTTCTATAATAACATCAGAAAACAGAAGAATTACTTTAAGTATAGAGAAAAATAACATTTTTTTTACTATTAGATAAACTGAGTGGATCAAAGTTCAAACTCACACTTGTGATTTTGTTTCAAGTTTCAAATGAGACTCGAATCAACCTTTTTTTCCCTAGCTATAAGATAAGCTCTGATTGGATCGAAGTTCAAACTCAAATTTGTGATTTTGTTGCAAGTTTTAAATGAGAATCACATAGAATGATATATTCAACTTAGAATTTGAGGTGATTTGTGTTAAAATGGTAAATCTACAATTATTCAAACATAAATTTTAAATTTTCATTTAAAATCTACTACTATTGAATTGGACAATATACTAAAGAACAGTAAACCAGATGAAATGAGAAACTACATCACCCTAGAAAGAAAAAAAGATAACACACATTGGTCATAAAAATTATTTACAAAGAAAACAAACAAAATCAATCAAATAAGCACACACACACACACACACACACACACACACACACACACACACACTCTTTTCTGTTAAATCCTAAACAAATTAAGATCAACTACTACTGCTAAACCCACCACCTTTCATCATCTGAAGAAACTCTTTGCAATTAACTCTACCATCACCATCAGCATCCACTTGCATAATCATCTTCTTGCAACCTTCTAGGGTTTTACCTTGCTTGAGTCCCAAGGAACCCATCACAGATTTCAACTACTCCACAGTGATAAACCCATCTCCGTCTTGGTCAAACACGTTAAACGCTTCTTTCATGTCCTCCTCTTTGGTTTCTCCATCGTTGTGATGCTCATCAACAATGGATCTGTATAGAGACTCGAACTCCTCTATGTCTAAACATCCATCTTGGTTCGTGTCTATGTTATGGATCATCTGAGTTAGGTCTTTTTCTGGTATGTAGATTCCTAGATTCTCTAGTGAGTCGTTGAGCTCTTGTTTAGTGATTCGACCGTCTCCGTTCTTGTCGAACGTCTGAAAGACCCGTTTTAGCTCGGACGGGTCTATCTCTCTTGTTGACGCCGAGGACGGTGACTGTGAAGGTGAAGGAGAGGGTAACATGGACGGTAACGGTGGTGAGTTCTTGTGGAGAGTTTTTTTTACTCATAATTAACGTAAAATTAAAAAAAAAATAATAAACTTAAAAACTAACTAAATTTTATTTTTAAATATAATTTTATTTTTAAATTTCTTATTCCTGCACATGGTGTAGGAAAACACTTAGTAAATAAATAAAAATTAATCCAAAACAATCTTTAGTATGCCTGAACCGTCGTCATCAGGGATTAAACCGGTAAATCAGATTATCAATTTTTCACTGATAAAATATCGTTTAAGTTGATCCACACCTGAACAAAACAAAATACAAATACATATATTCTAGGGAAATTTTGGTTTTTCCTATTCTAGTTGTGCAGAAATATGGCAAGATCCCATCTATAAATAACATAGCCAGTTGGACAAGGCAATCAATTCAGATTATCAAATTTGTCTTTTGTTGTTCAGAGTCTTTCTCCATCTTTCTGCTGCTTCGATCGATCATTAGCCTTTAGACTCGCTGCCTTGAAGGATACGCTACAAAAATTCTATAGAAGAAGACTAGGGTTTCATCCGAGCTAGGGTTTTGGAATAATTAATGGCATATAATTTTGTGAATTATCTGCGAAACATAACGTCATATTCAGTGATTGACACTGACCTGAGGGACTCAAAGGAGATTGTAAACACACTCTCAGTGCCTGAGAGCACAAAGACCTTTGTGTTTGCAATCAAAGTCCCTGAGCATGACTCCACTATTCACATACTCTCTGCTCAGAGTCTATCTCTAAGATCTGTTATCGACGCCGAGTGTCTTATACGTGAACTCCGTCCTGATGCCTTAGTAGTTCAAGTGGACGGTCCAGATTTTGGAGAAGAATCTCAAGAGATTGATGATGGCTCTAATGACTCCATCCCCACGTCAGCTTTTAAAGTTCTTACACGTTGTATTGTGGACAAAACTTTTGACAAAGACAAGTACGAAAGTGTTGCCGGGAACTTGGTTTTGAAGGAGATCTTTGGGACAAGTTTCAAGGGACATGCATTGGCTGCCAAGAAGGTGGCTGAGGAGGTTGGTTCATCGTTTATGGTTCTTAAATCTCCATTCATTACGGAAGGTCTATCTAAATCTCTCACAAGACAATATTATTATGGCTCTGCTATAAGCTCCTACACAAGGTTTCAGATAACCAATGATGCACGTGCACTGATGCTGAAACTGTTATCTTCTCATATCACTCAGCTCCGTAAAGAGCTAAGCCCATCAAGCTGTCTTGCCAATGAGAAGGGGTCTGATGATAGTGTTAAGCTTCCGGAATTTGCTTACTCCATTTATAACTTACTTGTTGATCTTCACAACATATTCAATGGTCTCCCAGCTATTAGGAAAGCTTTAGACAGTGCCAGAAAGATGTTGTCTGATGTAAACAGAGGGGAATCCATTGATAAGGCTCTTCTTTCTGAAGTGTACCTCTTCCGGATTGCAGTTGAAGGTATAAGAATTGCTTTGAACAATTCTGGTCGGCTACCTATTAGGAACCTAGGTCATGTATCAAACCAAACACAAGTTCAGTTCTCAAAGCTCTCTTCTATGGAGAAATCTTATGCACTTATGGCAGATAGTCTTCGTGATCAGGCTAAAAAGTTTAAGAACATAGTAGCAGTAGTAGACGCAGGCAACCTTAAAGGTCTTAGGAGGCACTGGAGAACTTGTGTTCCTCAAGAAGTCAAAGATATGTCCACTAAGCATAGTGCACTGGACTGTAATGCTAATGCTTCTAAATTAAAACCAATTGTTGCGGTTGGTGCAGGTGCTTTAAGACTAACCAAGGCCATTGCATCTTTTAAAGCCCTAGCTCCGTTGAGACTTTTCTTGTCAAACACGCAAGAGGCAATGTCTTTGTCAAAAGCAACTTTACCCGTCGAGACAATCAGCTTAACACAGTATATATTAGATTCTGCTCAAGTTACAAGCTTCTGTTCAGTGCAAGCTACACTCTATGGGATAATAATGAGGAGAAGACGAGCAAAACCTATCGGCACCTTACCAATGGCTATGTTTGGAGCCAGTCTTGCAACGTGTGCGGGGTTGCTCTTCTATGAAAAGGGGATCATGTGTGCAGCTGCGACTCTTCCTTCAGCTCATTCGATAGCAAAATTGGGACATGGGATTAAGAACTTACGTGAGGTGTCTGAAGAAGTGAAAAGGAGAGAAAACAAAAGGATACAGAACACATTGGAGGGGCTTAGTGAGAGGCTAAGGAACTTCAGGCTTCATTATTCATTATCCTTCAGTTTCACAACCAAATTTGGTTCATAATTGCATTTTTTAAAACGGTTGTATATAATATTTCCATTAATACAATATCAAATATTTCCATTAATGTAATTTTGATTACACTGACTAGCATTAGCAGTGAAGGTACAAAGTATCCTTAATAACGATCTATGTTGGTAAGGTGGTGATAATCTAACCATAAGTTAGATGTAGTGTTTGCCATAGACTGTTATGAACCGGTTAATATCTTCTAAGCAGATAGAGTGATATGTTTTCTCTTCATGTTATATTACATGTGTGTGATGAACATTCAGACAGACAAGTTAGCAAGTCGATTTAGTAAAAAAAAAAAAAAAGTTAGCATGTCGAATTTGTATTTCTGAATTGTTATATATTGAATGTTGGCAACAACAAAAAGTTAATAATGATAAAGATGCATATAGACTATATAATATAGTGATCAGTATTTTCATTGATATAACAGTATTATATTGATCATCAATACAAACCTTCTTAGTTTTATGTTCAAAAATGGAACCAAGCAAATATAATTTCGGATTCTAGTTTCACACATTACTGTAAAGAAAAACAAAGTTGATGGTGCTTAGACCAAGACCGTAGTACCCGAGAAACCCGAAAGAAACAAGAGAACTTCTAAGTATGAAGAATAATATGGAAGAACTCTCAAAAGGATTTAGAGAACTTTGAGTAGACACTCTTTCTTTCTTTTAAGAAAACTTTCTTATTACTTTACTTGTTTAACTTCTTATGTTGCTTACAAATGAGAGGGTGAAGAGGTATTTATAGCCTCCTAAATTACCTTACAAATATCTAGATTATTCTACTATAACCTCCTTACTTTTTAGATTTTTATTCTTGTTCTCTAGATTTTTCTACTACAATATCTAGATATTATTCTATTTGAGGAGGTGATGATTTTTCTAGAAAGATTCTAGAACTTTCTTAACTTTGGGTTTAGTCCAATATAATTATTGGAACCCATAATTAAGAAAAGCCCAAAATCAAGTTTAACTTCAATACTCTCCCTTAAACTTGATTTTGTCCACCATTCCGAGCTTTGAACGGAGTATCTCGAACTGACCTTTTGGTAGTGACTTGGTAAAGATATCAGCAATGTTATCCTCGCTTCGAACCTCCAATGCTTCAATTGTTCCATCAAGCACCTTCTCTCTTATGAAATGATGTTCCAGTTCAATATGCTTCATTCTTCCATGGAACACTGTATTATTGGCCAACTTGATAGCACTTTGATTATCTCCATAGATGGTAACTGTGGGAACCAAAATCCACCTACTGTCAATAAATCGTAAAAAAGGAAACTTCGGGAAAACCCTAAGTTTCCAGAGGAACCGGCTATCTGCAGAACCGCACAACGAAGATTAAGAAAACGATAAACTTAGAATTTAAAAGAGAATAAACGAAATTGAGAGCAAAGAGGTTCTTATTCCGAATCTGCGTAAGAACTGGTACAAAAAGAGTAGCCGAAAACTTAAGAACGAAAAACCCTAATTGAGACGTAGCTCGCTAACAGAAAACGAAAATATTCCTAAATGCTAATTTTGGTGGTGGGAGCTCTGAAAATCGTGTCCCAGCTTCTGCCCTATGCCTCCTCCTTATATACTCCTCCTTAGGCGGTTTTAATCTTTCCATTTCGCCCGAAACCGAATATATCGGGAATTTTCCATTTCTGTCGATCCTTCATTTTCTTCCGCGGAAATCTTCTATATATCTTCAAACTTGCCTTTTGTCTTCTATCTGCGAGTAAACCGTCAAAACGTTATCGTATCTTCGAGTTTGATTTCGTTACTGTCGCGAGATGATTTTTTATCGTGTTTTAGGACCTTTCGGGCCGTTTTACGATAAAAACCGTTTTACGACTTTATACGAGACCGTTTCCTGATCCGATGCCGTTTTTTTACGTTTTCCTGATCTGATGCCGTTATTTACGTTTTTATGATCTTAACGAAAAATATCGGATAAATCGTATAGTTTAGGCGATGTTCAGTGTCTTGCTTAACCGTTACCGTTTTATACAATTTCTTTGAGTTCTTTTCGAGAAAACGGAGTTTTACGGTTTTTATCGTAAAATTCGAACGATAAGTCGGATCGAGACGAAACGAGAGACATTTCGACCGTGGTTTAGAATATGACCGTGTCGAAGGACGTAAGGCTCGAATCGGGGCTGCGGGAGATCCGGGAGGTCTCTAGTTCGCCTGCTGGCGAACTAAGCCAAGCTGGCTTAGTTCGCCAGCAGGCGAACTAGTCGGGGAGGCTCTAGTTCGCCTGCTGGCGAACTAAGCCAACTTGGCTTAGTTCGCGAGCAGGCGAACTAGTCGTGACTAGTTCGCGTTTTGCGGCTTTTTCGGTTTTTCGCGGTTTTGTAAAATGATTTCTCGAGTTTTATCAAACGATCTTCGAGTTTTATAAAACGGCTTTTTTGAGTTTTATAAAACGGCTTCTCGAGTTTTATAAAACGATCTTCGAGTTTTATAAAACGATTTCTCGAGTTTTATAAAACGACTTCTTGAGTTTTATAAAAAGATCTTCGAGTTTTATAAAACGGTCTTCGAGCTTTATAAAACGGTCTTCGAGCTTTATAAAACGATCTTCGAGTTTTATAAAACGATTCTCGAGTTTTACAAAACGATCTTCGAGTTTTATAAAACAGCTTCTTGAGTTTTATAAAACGATCTTCGAGTTTTATAAAACGATTTCTCGAGTTTTATAAAACAATCTTTGAGTTTTATAAAACGGTCTTCGAGTTTTATAAAACGGCTTCTCGAGTTCTATAAAATGGTCTTCGATTTTTATAAAACGATATTCGAGTTTTATAAAATGATTCACGAGTTTTATAAAACGACTTCTCGAGTTTTATAAAACGATCTTCGAGTTTTATAAAATGATCTTTGAGTTTTATAAAACGATTCTCGAGTTTAATAAAACGACTTCTCGAGTTTTATAAAACGGTATTCGAGTTTTATAAAACGATCTTCGAGTTTTATAAAACGATTCTCGAGTTTTATAAAACGACTTCGAGTTTTATAAAACGACTTCTTGGGTTTTATAAAACTATTCCTTTTGTATTTTTGCAGGGAGTTTTGGCTATTGATTCCGTCGTACCGATTTTGACCCCAACAGTTAGCCCCCCAGCTCGTAAGAATCGTGGGGTTCTTGCGAGTGGATTGAGCTTGTTTGGCGAGTTTGGTTGAATTAGGCGGAACTTTAATGGCCAAAAGTCCAAGGGTGAATAGTAAAACTCTTCCTTAGAAGTAGATGGAGTAAAATTTTGAATTCTTTACCCACTTTTCTACAACTTATCCAAGAAACTTTTCTCTCTACTTTCTTTGAGGATCTTCAAACATGTTTTCAGGAAGAAGGACTCGTTCCTCAACTAGCTCCAATTCTCGCAATTCTGAGGGAATGAGCTCGCAGCCTCCAGTTTCAGCTCCAAAAAAAGAGTATTCGTCCCCGTTAATCGATCCGACGGACCGTGAGGCTTTTTGGGCGTTGGGAGATGAGTCGAGGTCCGCTAGGCCTGGGACTTGGGTTCCAGCTTTGTCGGACATCGATCAAACTTCCGGATATCCGAGCTCGGCTCTTTTTAATAGTATCGATTACATGCGCGAATTTTGCCGAGTTCCAGAGGCTGTCGAGTTTCGTCTCCCACTTGCCGGGGAGGGCGACAAGGATGCGCCCGAGGGTTTTTTCACATGTTACAACATTTTCTTGCAACAATGCCACTTATGGTTTCCGATCCCAAAATCATTGTTCATTACCTTCACAGGCTGGGGCTATTGATCAGTCAGCTGACTCCCCCTGGTCTAAAGCAACTCGTTGGTCTCTTGACGCTGAGTTATGAGCAGGGAATTACCCTTAACGTCGATCATCTCGAGAGTCTGTTAAAGCCCACGGGGCAGTCGCAGAGGATCACTCTATGCCCTTGTGACGGAATTGTTACGGGCTGCTCAACGCTCTCTACTTCTTGGAAGAAAAATTTCTTCTATGTTCGTATTGACAGCGCGTCAGTCGAGAAGGATTGCATTCCGCTTTTTACGACCGTGTGGGGTTGGAAAGGTATGTGAATCGAGTTCATACGAATCTTCTTCCTCTTGTTTTTTTTTTAAATTCGTTTCTGTTTTTCCGCAGTGACCAACCCTTTGCCTCCGTATCCCGTGGATCTCCCGAACATCACCACTTCTCTTAAACGTGGTGAAGTTGGCTGGTGCAGTTTTTCTCCGCAACGAGTCCGCCAAGCGGTTGCCCTCTTCCGATCTCGACTCTTTGCGGATTCTCTGATTTATGAAGAGGATCCGTTTATCGGGGAGTTTATTCCGTATGTTTCATCGACGAGGAGTGGCAAGTCAAGCTTTCGAAGGGATAAAAATCCGGTTGTCGAAGATGACGATTCTGACCGTGCGGCCTCTCCTGACAATATTCTCAAGGATTTCCTTGATAGTCAAACGGAAGAAGGCGTCTGGATGAAAGCGAGCGGATCATCGACCTCCCATTTTCCGGACGTTGACCATGATCAAGTCCCGGAGTTTACTAGGGGGTTTGAGAAAGCTAAGGAGGTACGTATGTTTATTATTTTCTTTTTCGAGCGATTTTACCATTAGATGATGTCGCTTAATTCTTTTCTTTGGTAGGGTTTCCTTGTCATGAGCCGGGCGCTGAAGCTCGCCTCGCCGAGTTTCGAGCGAACATGGCTGAAAAAGAAGTTGCTCGTCTTAGGGCAGAGGTCGAGGCCAACCGAGCCGAAGAAGTGGTTGCGAGGGAGGTTGCTCGCGTGAGGGATGAGTGTGCGGCTAGATCTTGCAGCGCCAAGGAGCTTTCTGACCAAAGGATTCGTCGTGCTCGTCGTACGGGCAAACGAGAGGTTGCCGAAGAGATGAAGGCTCGTCGTGAGCGATTTGCAACTTGTTGTTCGGATGCCGAAGTTGTTCAACGGGCGCACGGTGATTATCGCGAATGTCGCGGGATCGTTCGTGGGTTATCCTTAACTCAGAATGAAGGGTATTCAT